CAATAAAATATATTCTAACAGACGTTATGTAAACTAGGTTTTAATATCCCTCTGCACATATGCGATGGGTTGTAAAGATTCCCTGGTTATGTATTACTTATAAAAATAATAATTGTTTTTTTTTTATATATTATTGGCCTTATTCATAAAAAATAAAGTAGCTTTATAAATGGTTTATAAATTGAAAAATGTATGAAAACGTCAATTTATAAAGCTCTTTAAACCTACTTTATTTTTTATGAATAAGGCCATATGTGTTTTTATAAGCTTGAAACACAAAAGTATAACTATAACTCTTGTTTGGTTTCAAATTCGGACAAACTAGAGGACTTAATCAGATTTTATTTTTAATTGGATTAGCGATTAATGATTAGAATTAATTAACCGTAATCACAACCGACGATAAACGATTAAAAAAAATTATCATTAATCGTACAGATGATTACGATTAATTAATTTGAATCGTTAATGGCGATTAACATTTTAATCATTAATTTTTAATCCTTAATCAGATTAACATTTTGCCAACACTGGTTGAAAGGCCGTTCGGACGAGGCGATATTTGCTTTCAACTAAAAGTTACCTGAAAAATCGCCTCGTGCGAAAGCCCTATAAACGGTTTGTCGATGGCGACATGTATACGTTTGACATAAAAGAAGAAAAAGAACCTTGTCTGAAAAAATAGAAATAGATATTTTCAATTAGCCTCTACACACTGGTCTTTCCACATCGTGTGACCGGACAAACATGCGAAAATACACTAGTTTTTTCTGACCGTCCGAAACCGGTTTCGTACCTGTGTATATATAAGATATCTATATACCTTGTTTATATGGTATAAAATACGGTGTCGAATAAACTCGTGTCCGTATAATTCGCTTGAAATGCAAGCATTTATATGCAACGAAAGAAATGAGTCTATCGAACACACTTTCACACTGCGTTCACTCCGATGCAACCCTGTCAATACATGTGACAATTGTTGTAATTAATAATCATGCAAAAATAATAATTAAAGACTCAAACAGCAACGAAAAAAAGATCTTAGCTACTAATTTTAAAACGAAGCTTTGTCTAAATGTAATTTCTAGAACTATTTTAATGTTTTACTTGATACAGAGTTGAATGAAACAACCGATTGGACTAATCCCGTGTTTATATGCACGTTTAATACGATTCCATAACTCCTACCGGCCCGTTTACATTAGACGATGCTGTCAAGACAATCAAGAAATACGTATTAGTTCTCAAAAAAAGAATGCATGTATTAGTGAAAAAGTTTGGAGGTATTGCAAAGTATCGCACCCACATTGTCATTTATGGTGGCACGGTTAAAAGTTTCCATTCGATTTAAGAGTGTGCTTACATGTGTGTGTCCAAATAACATGGCTTCCCTTAGAACGAATTAAAGCATCATATAAACGAGGTAATAGTTGTGTTAGTAAGAGATTTGTTTATGTGTGTGTTTCAGACCGAAGTCATACCGCATTTTTTTCGGTTTCAGACGGTCTGAAAAGACAAGTGTGTCAAGGCTCAATGTGTTCAGCACTTGGGGCTATATCGTAACTGGGCGTCTTCACGTGCTGGAAAATATCGCTTGCGTGACGACGCATACTTTTTCTCGCATACCGAGCGGTTTGCGAGATCTCGCACGTTTATTTTGATGGAAAATAAAAATTTGGCCTGGAAAGTTCGAACCTTCTTTTTCGCCGACATTTTGCAAATGAAAAAATATGCTGTCAAATGTCCACTCAAAAACACTCTATCTCGCTTGTGAGAGGAAAAAGCAGAACGCAAGCGAGATTTTCAAGCATTCTTTTTACAAGGAAACTTTTGTCGACGCGAGTTTTCATATTCTCTTTTGGTGTTTCATTTACACACGGCGACTTTTTTGTATGCAGTTGTTGTTGTCAGCTATGAACCGCTAACACCAGACGAACGAAAGCACAAAGCGTGCTGGCCGAGCACTCTCATCGCGCTCTCTCCTACAAAGTTCGAATTGCTGCAACAAAAATTACCGTGTGTAAATGAGCACTAATCGACGGCGAGATTCTAATTATTCGATTCTAATTAATTATTTATTTAAATCTTTCTTTCACTTGAATCTATAAAGAACGGCTATGAATCATAGCTAATAATCCTATTATAATGATTCAATTAATATTATTTTAACACGAATTTTAGTAATAAAGTCGAATAATAAGATTGTGGAAAAACTGCTTCATTTGCTATGAAATGTGTGATTGACACATATTCACAGTACTGTATGGAAAGTAAATAAATTTGAATACCCTTCTTAAAATTGTTTGTTAATTCATTTCTAGTATCTCTATGAATATGCGCCAATTAGTCTTACTTAATATTAATATTTGTCATCCCAGAAATTTTACAATTTCACAATTCTTACCGGTCGTCATCGCATGCTTGAAAATTTCGCTTGAGTTCTTTTACATTTGTAAAATGTCGCCAAAAAAAAGCTTCGAGCTTTGAGGCTAAATTTGTATATTCCACCAAAATAAACGATGCTGCTACTCCGAAGAATCCTGCGAAATGAGATATTACCTGTGAAACCAAGAACCTTCTCTTTTCACCCAATTAGAAAAGTTGCAAGAGCAAAAGAGAAGGCACCGAGTTGTCCCTTCCTGTTATCTACGTTCTTTGGTCAAACAACGAAAATGATAGTTGAAAGCATGCGAAAGCTCGCAAACAGCTCGGTATCGAGAAAAAGTATACTTCGAAATTTTTGTCATCACGCGAACGAGATTTTGCAGCACGTGAAGACGGCCGGTTATAGGGATGTCGGAAAAACATCGATGCATCGAAAATATCGATGTTTTGCTTCGGTGCATCGAAAATTTCCTACTCGGTGTATAAATAGTCGATGTATCGATGCATCGATGTTTTTTGAAAACTGGCATTTCTAGTACATTGAACCGTTGTTCCAGTTTTTCAACTGCAAAAAAAGAGGAGACTTTGGCCAAAAAATTGAAACGGCACCAAAAAGTTCCGTTGGAAAAAAAAATTAGCTCAGTTACAGTAATTTATTTCAAATTTTGTACAATTTTGCTAATAACATCGTTTGTGTGTGCAGTTTTGTAGCCCATTAAATTTTTGTAGAAAAATTCCAAGAAGGAAGTATCACATACCGTAAATTTTTGCATTTTTTTACGGTGATGCTTCTTCTCTTCCGGATAAAAAAGCATTGGGAAATAAAATGAAAGTATGTTGATACGTGCTCGATTAATCGAAAGGTAAATTTCAATACAATTAAATCGTCAACCGAATGAAAATAACCGATTATTCGGTTATTCGAATAACCGTGCCATCACTAGGTCGAATCACCACATTATTGGTTGATATAAAACTTAAACAGACGGCAACGTTGAGCCGGATTAACGCGAACTTAATCCGGATCAAATGCAGTTAATTCCCGAGTTGATCCGGATCAACGCTGCCGTCTGTTTATGCTTTTATTAAATTATCAACATCGGCAATAGAAAACTGATTGCTTAATTCTTTTAAGCTCTCTTCTATAGGACGAGGAATAGTATTAATTTTTTTTTTACATCCATGATACCATAATGATACAATAATTTTTAGAAGGTAGTTTCACTTCTTCTTCTTATCCGCCATGTTAGCTATCTGACAGAAAGCGTGTTTCGTATTTTTTGTTGTACCAACTTTTCAAAAAAAAAAATCCAGCTTTTGACGTTGGAAAAATAAAACAAAGAAAAGCTAAACATATAAGTAGAGAAATTTTCGAATATTTTGTAATAATTTTCTTCATAAAAAATTAACTGCTGCTTTCGTGGATATTGCAACACACGGAATAGATGTAAGGACACAGCTATAAGAGCCACCGCACACCACAGACTTTATCGCCCGCCTATTTAAATGAAAATATGTACATGAAGATCTATGGAGGTGCGCACATTACACCAGCTTAATCGCTCTGACCAATAAGTTGTGGTNAAGAGCCACCGCACACCACAGACTTTATCGGCCGCCTATTTAAATGATAGGGCTCGCTTGAAATATGTACATGAAGATGTATGGAGGTGCGCACATTACACCAGCTTAATCGCTCTGACCAATAAGTTGTGGTGCAATGGAAAGACTAGCGAGCACATCTAAATTTGCGGCCGATAAAGTCCGTGGGGTGCGATGGATCTAATCCATTATAAACAAGAAATATTGCTGTTATATTTTCATTTTTATGATTTTTATTCATGTGATTAGCAGTGGCAAAAATGTATGTACAAAACACGTATATTTATATTAAAAATTAAGTGATTAGTTATGAAACATATAAATCTTTACATGTTCTGTTAAAAAATATCTAAAATAACAAGCGATAATCCCCAAGTTCTATATCGTAGCAGTGGCCACATTGCGTGTTTGTCACAGACACGGTTTATGTCAAAAATTTTGAAGTGAAACTACCTTCTAAAAATTATTGTATCATGTCTTCAACACTGCATGGTTTTTTATATTTTTCAACATATTTAACAATTCATCATATGATTTTATATTTCTGTCACGCATCACGTACTCTAGACTAGTTATGTCCCGGAGACGACGTTGCATGTCATAGCAATTTTAAAATTCCTTAAAAAAATCGTGATTCGTGTCCATTTTTAACGTTGCACGGATAACATTCGAAAATCTCTTTTTATTTATAGTGCTTTAAGTACATACATATTTCACACGTGTGTACGTTGCGATTATTTCGCTTGACTGACAGTTTTTGGAACACACTATCAGTCAAAACTTAAATGACCGCTGACTGACAGTCAACCACAAACATTTTTGCGGTTGACTGTTGACTTACGAAAACGAGCGGTCACACAAACATGGGAAATTTGAGCGAAACTGTCGGTTTTGATCGCCAATGTGTACCTCACATAAAGATGTATGAATAATAAAAGAATCGAGTTCTCACAATCGATTCTCGATCGATTCCCAAAAATTTAGATTTCTGGCGTGGAATCGGAATCGATTTTTCCATCCCTATTTTGCAACCGTTTTTTATAATTTGAGGAGTGACTTGGAACGATCAGCTTTTGGTACTTTGGTAAGCAATTTTACCTTGAGCAAATTTATTAAAGAAAAAATAGTATTTTCATGAATTGCAATAAAATTTTGATTTGCAGCTTCGTAGTGAACAGTATTCGATAAGAGATCAAAGATTATAGCAAAGCAAAATTGGAATAAATACGTAGTAAACTTTTCTACTAAATATGGTTGATGTTTTGACTGTTGATTGCCTATTGGAGGTATTTAAATACCTCAGCCTTAACGATCAGGTAGCTGCTACTGCGGTTAATAAGTGCTTCCGCAATATAATCGTGGATCGTATTTGGCGTTTAAAATACAAAACAATAGTCTTAAAAGATGCGGGTGTTGGCGATCTTACAATGGAGGAACGTAGCCTATTCAACAGTCTAATTGCACCACATGCAATTAAGATTATTGTACATGAAAGACATCTGTTACCTTCCTCATCCGCAGGAAAATGGCGTGATATAATTTATGCACCTATTTTAAAACTGGAATATCCACAATTAAGGGAGATACGATTCTATGATACGTGTTTTGATAAGGATGACCTAACGGTTATATTGAACAAATGCCCCCATCTAGAAGTACTCTTGCTCAAAGATCAGTATCCGACAGATCAGCACTTGGCTAAAATTCCCCATCTGCGGGAATTGGTTTTGGTCTTGCACTCCTTGTATTCAGAACCTTTAAAAAATTGTTTTAAGAATATAGCAATTTCCCGCTTATGTTTGGATGACCGCTATAGGCCTAGCAATATGAAGTCCAATCAACCATTGCTTGCACCATTTAAAATACTTTATTGTGTAAGGAAGGAGATCTTAAATATCACGAACTTGCGTGGGCAAGGATCACAACTATATGAGTTTTTTAACTCTCTTCAAACACTGAAGGAGTTATTCGTCAATGCTAAAGTCATGCCCATTATTTTGTTTTCACTAATCGAAGGCAACTTACAGCTGGAGCATCTCTATATAAAAATAGGCTATGAATTCCAAGGGTTTGGAGAATGGATTTGTAACTTATCTGATCGTTTACATGAACAACAACGTAATCAGATAATCACCGTACACGTGGGGTGGCAAGAATTGCCCGTGCAGCTAATGCAGCAGGCATTGGAGGTAATAAAAAACTTCAAGCCGTTTTTTTTTTTTTTTTAATGAAAACAAATTCAAAATTTATTGTAAAAATGTGTTTTAAGAAATCTCACGCGACAAACCTGATATTAAATTTATTTTTTAATCTATTTTCCAGCTATATGATCATTGTCGTGGCTACCGAAGACCAGCAATAAGGATTCAAAAACGTGCAACATCTGATCAGGCTGAGTATATGGTTAGTTTGGAAGCTTTGGTTCAACTTGTCAATATCTTGATGGATTAATTATATCTGAAGTATTCTATACTAATCTATGTATATCTTTATACATATACATATACACCTATAAGTACGTATATAAAATGGTAGCCGTTTATTAGTTATAACTTGGCTAAAAAAATACCTGTCGAATTTAAATGAAATTTTCGGAGGTTATTCCTTAAACTATGTTCACATATCAATATTACCTCAATCAAAGCTCGTTTTTAATCACCCCGTTTACACAGGCAAATCTCAGATCATTAGCCGTCAAATTTGTTGGGCTTATTATTCTCACATCTCAAGGAAAAGTTATGTTTCTGCTCTGTGCCACCGTGATCACGTTTTTCTGCTATATTAAGCAATATAGATATGTTTTAACAACATTTTATTTAAAAAAAACACCTTTAAAACCCTCTTTTCCTTGCTAGCGTCCATTCTTGTTTACTTTTACATTTGCCATTTCTCCTCTTCTTCGCAAAAAATCGATAAAACTAGGATGGACACCGAAATTTATCGGTTAAATCTGAGATTATTTTATAATTACAGATTAACAAGGGAAGAATTTTATATGGCTAATCTCTTTCTAATTACAGATTAGGAAGTTAAGCTCGAAAATGAGGATAATCTACTTATATGTGAACCTAGTATTAGGCATCTGGTCTCAACATGAGACTACCAAATAACTCGCTGGGTGGCGCGTAAGTCGACATATTTAGAAACCTCGTACATATGGTCCAATTTGGTTCAAATTTCGTACGCATATTACTCTTACGATAAAGATCAATTTTGCTACAAATGTAACCACCTGGTGGGTGAGAGAATTGGGAGTACATAAAGGGCAAATATGAACAACTGATAAATTTGTTTATTCGCAGCAATAACCCATGATACAAATAAAATTATATTTTTAATATTTTTATTGAGCTTTGGGATCGAACCCTGCTGAAGTCTAGAAAAAGAAGTCTGATGAGGAGATGTGGTGATCTCCGAAATAGTGCTATAACTTCTACCGCTTAGACTTTGTTGCTTTTTCAATTTTTCCTTAATAAACAATCGTGGTACAAAGCTCAATAAAAATATTAAAAATAAAATGTTAACAAGCCACAATAACATTGACAAATACATAGTTTAGGAAGAGCCTGCCTGAAACTATACAAAAAAGCAAATAAGCAAATGGATGTATAGAATTGACAACAACAACCACGCTGTCGAGTTTAAATAGCGGCAAATCAGCTGCACTTGATAGTAGTTGGTTGAATAAGGAAAATGAATTAGCAACAAGAGTTTACGGGATGTACATAGCTCAGTGGTTAACGCTTCTGACTTTGAACATCGAAT